TAGCAGTGTGGTGAAGAATATTGGATCTGAATTAGTTACAATAACAATCTTTTTTGTTATTTTTTGTAAGATAGAGTCGCTCGTAACAAATTTAGACATTACAAGACATTAAAGATGTTTGAAGTCTATCCTTCGGCATCGTGTATAAGTAGATGTTGAGACTTGATAGGCAGGCTCCCTACTAGCTGGACCGATGATCTGGTGAAGGTACATGGATGCGGGAAGCGCAGGACCGGTCGTTTTGGAAAACCTTGGGGGAGGCCTTTGACCAGCAGTGGACGTTATTTGGCTGAAACGAATGTACCAACGATAAGAAAGTAGATGTTTGATAGATCGACTGGATAGGGGAGAGTTCGGTATATTGGACCGCCGGGTAAATTGTACCACCCTCATATTTCGTAAAGTATTTATTGAATGTCTGTAATTGCAACACTCAGCGATACACAACTAAATTGAATTAATATCGGCCATGTGGTTTTTGCCGTGACAACGAACACGTGTGTTTTATTTTGAAAAGTATTTTTTCATTGTTTTCAAGTAATTTTGCATGTTTAGTTTGTAATTTTGTTAAATTTAATCACAGGGTGTTTCTAATATATTATTTAGAAGCGTAAATTAGTGTGGATTACAATTATTTGAAATATTTTTCGGTATTTATAAGCTATATTTTTTTACCGATTTTTTAAAATCACTATCACATAGTCGGCTAAATTGTACCACATCAAGTTGTATGGAACTTTACCAAAGGATTTTGAATTTTTTTTTAGTAAATCATATTTTGAAGTTATAATAGCGTAGTTATGTTTGACTAACAATACATGAAAGCAAAAGACTGGCGAAGTAGATTAGGTACAAGTGTGCGTTACGACAATTGGAATTACAAAACTTTACTTAAAATCATGATAACGTGTAAAACAATATCGATTGTCTATGTTATTAACTAGGTACTGTTCCTTTTCGTTACCTAATTTGTTAAGAATGTATCGTATAATATTTTGCCATTGTTTTTTTATAGGCTTGAAATTTATTGAAATCCAATTTAGTAACCCTGTGGTACAAATTATAGAACCGGTTGGCTAAATTGGACCGAAGCTCTGAACTCGTATTTTGTTGATTTGTGCTAAATATACAACAATTATGTTGATTAATGCCTATGAAATAGTAAGTTAAATAATTTATCTTTAATTATATACCATGAACATTAGCAAAAACAAAAGAAAACTATGTGTAAAATGGGATTGAAAAAAACTGGTCCAAATTATCGGACTCTCCCTTATATGGCATGTCCTCTGAAGTACAGAATGGATCTTCCTATACTTATATCTTAATCAAAATTGTACTATACCGACTTATGTACAATTACAAAATAGTTTTGTGACTCTACATAGCATAGGTGTCATCATTTGACTACTAAGCGACCGAAAGTAAATACCGCTGTTACAAGCAATTCACATGGGAGGCATCTTGCATTTTTAGATAGTATCTTTGGGGGGTCATTTTGTACCCAGAGGCATAGATGTCAAACTTTTAAAACCTTTTGCGGCAGGGGATAAAATCTCCGAAAAACGACACCATATCCAAATTGTGAAAGTTTTAAACTGCAATATGATCCGTTTGGAAAAACCCCGTGGCGCTAATGGCCAAGGAAGCCGCAAAAGAGAAAATGAATTTTTATGAACGCCATTTCCTAAAAAGGTTTCGCGAAATCGTGAAATATATACGGAATTAGTTATTTCTTTTCATTAAACAAATGGCGTGGGTTTCTGTTTATTTATTCTTTGCTATTTGTCTGTACTATGTAGAATGTAGATGGTATAGTCTACGCCTAGTGGTTAAGAATTCGAGCCTTGATAAATGGAGAGCCTGGGTTCGATTCGTATGTGGGAAATAAATATAGAAAAAAAAAACGGCTACGAAAATAATAATTACTTATTTTCTTTGAGATTTTATGTTAGACTCAAACGAAACGACTATTTTTTCATCTTTTTAGGATCGGACATAGTTTTACATGGTAAAATATAATTTAACAGACTATTTCTACATTTTAAACTTCCATGTTGCATTTTTTACTACAAATTATCTCTATAACGGGAATTGGCAACAAAACACTTTTATAAAATTAAAAAGGTATTTTCGACTCGGTTGTACGAGTCATAGTCGCGGGCAGACTGAAGTCCCATTATAGTGATAATTTATTTGTACATTACTGTATGTACCATTATTAAATAAAAGTCTCCATATCCTGCCGTAGTCGACCACAGCACATTAAACTACACATATATGTTGAAAAATCGATGGTATTATTAAAATTAGACAAGATGCCAGTATTTAGCTGGATGTCCTGATATCTGTACAAAGGCAGGTTCCCCAGATTGTCCTAGTTTCAGCACAGGATGCCTGCCGTCTCTCCTGGGCTGTTGGACAAGATCCAACTCCCAAGCCTGCAGTAACTTTAATAAAATTGAAAATACATTTTTAATCGTTTAGTAGGGCTAAAATGCTTTGTCTGGTTTCTTAGCTGCTGCTACATCTGGTTTTTGTAGCATTTCTTTAATTTTAAAACTATTTCCATAATTTTTTTGAAAAAGTGGGATAAAAACAGTACTTGCGTTTTTTGCTGGATCTTTTACCTGTGGGAACCTATAAGTGGTTTACTCGTTGCCTATCTTATGTCATTATTAAACACTGTAAAACCCTGGTTTTCCTAAATAAATAAATAAAATCTCAAACTATCCCTAGTAAATAAATTTCATCTAAATCAGTTCAGTGGTTGAAGAGTAAAACTAAAAAGTTAATAGACTCGTACGATTAAACAGAGTTCGTATTATAAATGAAAAATAAGTACATGAATGAATGTTTATACGGAAAAGTTCTATGAAGTACAATGTTTTCCAAAGATAATTGCATGTAGGAAGTTGCAAGAGGTAAAGTTTGATAACCAAACATTGTAGGGGTTCCAACTTCAGGCCTGTTTGCATTTTTAAGGCTCTCTGGTAAAAAAGTTTGGTTCTCTCACTTATAAAATACAAAATAATGTTGTCTGTTGTCCTAGGTTAGTTAGAACTTTCGGTTCTCGGTGTTTCAGAGGGCACCTGTAGTTCTGTTCCTATGTATTTAGTCTTTAATTACAAACATTATTCATCAATATTTATAAACCCATCTAGCGTGGGAAGTGTAGGTCAAATTCTCTATTTGCCTATGGTTATTTAGTGAGGGTCGTGCTTTGATATTTTTTAAATACCAATTGATATAACTGGTGTACTCTATCATCAGCTACTTCATGGATTAATATGACATGTTGATGTACTCTATCATCAGGTAGGTACTTCATGGATTAATATGACATCTGAAAACAATCTCATTGCAGACTGCATACCTAACAGACTTTTCCGTTAATTCTTGTCATAGTCTAAAAACACCTTAATTAATATCAGAGTAAATACAAATGAGTAGGTCATCTTCATAGAAACTCACAAAATTCGGGGCAACTCACCGCTAATCAACGCTAAATTTTGTCAGTGTGTGCGTGCGCGCCGCATACGTATTGGCACGCGCTCACATACAAACAGCGCTCGGGCGTTTCTATGAAGATGACCTACTCATTTGTATTTACTCTGTCAATATTCTGTTATAAACTTAGTTCTTAAAAGTTGACCTGAAAATCTCGGTCGAGCTGTCAAGTCGAGGTTACACCAGCAATTAGCGAACTTTGAAGTTCGTGTCGGCATCTCAGGATAACGGCGTAAAAACGCTAAGCACCCGGATGCCTCAGTCGAAACTTTAATAAAGGTCATAGCACACTTATATACCTGGAAAGGGATCAGGGGGAAGCTAGGCGAGGCGGTTACGGTACGGATAAGTGTGCGTTGTACGGAGATTCATACAAAGAATACTGACCGTTTCGAGTTGATACAGCTACGATCCGTTTCCGGGTTGATAAGTGTCCTTAATAATATAATAAATAATGTATTTTTATTTTTGATAATTTACATTGTAAAAAATATTTAAAATTATGAAAGAAAAAATAAAGAGATAATAAATAATAATAAATATTTGGACAATTTCACACAGCGCTATCTAGCCCCAAAGTATGCAATTAATATGATTGTGTTATGGAAGCTAGCTTAACGGATATACTACATAACATACTTTTTAAATACTTACATATTACATAGGAAAACCGAGACCCGTCACAGAAATTAAATTTCATCATTTAAATCCGGGCCGGGAATCGAACCCGGTATCTCTCGGCATAGTAGTCCGTTTAGAACCACTACACCAAACGGCCGACAAATGGTGTAAAAAACCTTAGCACCCGGATGCCTAAGCCGAAAGTTTAATAAGTCGAAAGCTAATACTTTCCTCCCAAGTTTACGGGGCGCTTCGGTGATAAAACCCCATGGAGTACGTGCGAGGTTTTCCAGTAGAGCCGGATTTAGAAAGGTACAATTAGACAGGCACCTATTTGTGACACAAATAAAGGTGTTACTCCGTGCTCAATTAAACAGTAGATATTGGAAGAAACTACAAAAATCTGGACGATTTTGAAACGTTTGAAGTCTTGTTAAATCACTTCGTGGTTTTCTTCTTACTTTTTCAGTGCCTTTGTATTTAAGTAAAAACGAGACACCTTCAACATAAATTATTATCAATACAACGATATGATTAGCAGATAGAGGTCGTATTGTGTGCACAAGTAATAACTCCCTTTTTTATAAAAATTGAAAACAGTGTTAAGGTTTTAGCTATACTCGTAAATATAAAGTTCTTTTATAAATATAAAGTTTTTTTACCAAATGTTTCACTTAGACAAAACAGTTTTTAATCAAATAATGTTATAAATACTGTAGGTAGACCTACATTGTAATGAATAAGGGGAACGCAACCATAGGGGTTAAGTGTGTGACTCACCGAATCTACTGCAAGCGATTCCACTACACGCGGCCGCTGGAAGCCTCCGCGGGGGGACCGAGTCGCGCCGCTCAGTCGGGCGCCGGCTACGACCAGCGCCGGTCGCACGCATGGGCCGCGCTCCGTGACGGCATGCACGCGCTTGCCGCGCTCGCGGCTTGCTGCGTGGTCGCCCGCGCCGAGCCCGCCGCGCGGCTCGCACCGCGAAACTCCACCCCCTCTCACGTCCTCCAGTGCAGCGATGGACTCGTCCTACCCGCCTGGAAACCCCTCGAAGATGTCCCCACTCTTGAACTCGCTATGCGCGGCGTCATCTACTTCATCTCCCTCATGTATCTTTTCATCGGAGTCTCCATCGTCTCCGACAGATTCATGGCCGCCATTGAAGTCATCACGTCCAGGGAAAAAGAGGTGCGCGTGCGGCGGAACGGAAGCGAGCAAATTGTCGTCGTCCGAGTATGGAACGAAACTGTTGCCAACCTAACCCTGATGGCGTTAGGGTCTAGTGCTCCAGAGATCTTACTCTCAGTTATCGAGATAGCCGGGAAGGACTTCGAAGCTGGTGATTTAGGGCCGGGCACCATCGTCGGCTCCGCTGCTTACAACTTATTCGTCATCATGGCCATATGCGTTGTGGTCATCCCTGATGGAGAAGTGCGCAAGATCAAGCATCTCAGGGTTTTCCTTGTGACTGCAACTTGGTCGATTTTCGCGTACGTGTGGCTCTACCTCATCTTAGCAGTGATATCACCCAGCGAAGTAGAAGTTTGGGAGGGAGCTGTGACCTTCCTTTTCTTCCCGGCGACAGTTTTAACAGCATACATTGCGGACAGACGACTTCTAGTCTACAAGTATTTGAAAAAAGGATACCGAGTTAATGAACGCGGAGTCATCGTGGAAGCAGAAGGCGATGGCTCTGTCGAGATGGCATTGAAGCCGAGTGGTGATGATTTCGCATCAGATGATGAGGAGGGCCGTGAGATTGAGAAGTCTCGAAGAGAATACGTGGCAGTTCTTCGAGACTTAAGGAGACAGCATCCGGAAGAAGATCTAGATACTGTGGAGCGAATGGCGTTGGAGACTCTCATGTCTCGCGGTCCAAAGTCCCGAGCATTTTACCGAGTGGCCGCAACAAGGAAAATGACCGGCGGTGGGGATTTCTCGCGAAAAATATCTGAGCGAGCTCAAAGTGATCTGAGTGAAGTGAAAGCTGAATTGCAGAGGCGTGAGTCTGGTTCTCCGTCGATCGAGCCAAAGGGTCCTAATGTCAGATTTGACCCTGATCATTATACTGTGATGGAGAACTGTGGTTCTTTTGAAGTGAGAGTTGTCCGCGGCGGAGACCTAACTGGGGAGATTTCCGTGCAGTATACCACGGAAGATGGCACTGCTGAAGCAGGTTCAGATTATGTGGCTGCTCAAGGCTCTTTGCTGTTCAGGCATGGCGAGACAGAGAAGACGTTTAGCGTCCAAGTGATCGATGATGACGTGTTTGAAGAAGACGAGCACTTCTACGTGCGTTTGACTTCTCCAAAGAACGCTTCGTTGGCTTCCCCGTCCACGGCGACTGTAGTGATTTTAGACGATGATCATTCCGGTGTGTTTTCGTTCCCCCAACGGGACTTCGAGCTGACCGAGTCAGTGGGGACTTTTGATCTTCGGGTGATGAGAACGGCCGGCGCCAGGGGCAAGGTGCGGATACCGTACTGGACGGAGGACGGCACAGCGAAGAGTGGTGCTCAGTATGAAGCTGCGCAGGGACACATCGTCTTCGAGAACAACGAAACTGAGTGAGTACTTTAGATTTTATAGTTACGTTCCTTCAAAAAGTTGTTTTTACGGCCTAATTTAGATTTAACACGTAGGACGCCATGCGGATCATCGGTGAGCCTCGAAAAATTAAATTTCTCTTGTGTCTTGTGTCTCAATAAACAAATCAATAACTTAAAATATAGTATAAGTAATTACTTGTTTTTGAATCGTGACAGCAAACAGTTGTTATTAAACCCATATACAACTACTAATAGGAATTGGAAAACGTGTCAATTTTAATGTAATTACTCGAGCCATTTTTATGTATTTGGTTTAGTTTTTAGTACTCGTAGTCTAGGTTAAATTAAAAGTAATTAAGTTGTCCTATTTATCTTTAGGTATAGATATTTAGACATTTTTAATGCGTCTCATTAAACTTCGGAATAAATATAGCTATGAGGAAGAGCTCTTGACTGAATCCTACAACTAGGTCGTTAGACTCGAGGGCCCTGAATATCTTGGCATGCTTCGAATGCAAATAAATAGGAGAGTACTAGTGTTAGTACTGTGTGCCTACCATGAGTTTACGTTAGGTGTGCTCGCTAGCGACTGCGTAAAAAAATGACATTTAAATGTATGACATATTGTGCAGCGCCCCTAGCGGCTACTTTCAAGAAATAAAATCTTCATATAATTTTTTGACGTATTCGCTAGCGAGCTCACCTAACGTAAACTCATGGTAGGCACACTGATGTCTAATACCTACGCTTACTTCAATGCAAAACATTATATAATTTTTTAGGGAAATGTTAGTGAGATTCGAGTCAGTCATAGAATTGCCAATTTCTATTTTTTTTGGCGATTATAAAAATACAAATAATTTATTTGTGAAACACAGGTAAGAGCATGGTGTACAAATAAAAGATGATTCTTAAATATTCCTAAATAACATTCCTAAATAACATTAAAATTAAAATATGGGTACATAATTTACTGTAGAGTAACTTTGTAAAGCTCTAAAATTAATGACTATCGTTATAGCTACGGTCTATACGCGATCAACGGTCAAAATATTTACCCACATCCCATGGGCATACTTACTTATGGTGTCAAAGTATAATAGCCCCTATTTGTGTTTAGCTTTTGCAATTTCCATTGGCGTAGCTTTGTATCTCTTTCCTAATTATTTAAATAAAATCATTTTGCTGCAATCTTACATAATTTTATGTATAAATACAGTCTATAGACCAACATTAATAACTTAAACGATTCCTTTGGTATAAATCCTCGTTAAAACAACTAAAATGATCACTGAAATTAATGAAACGTCAGCTAACTTATTACATTAGTATACATCATTAGTTCTTTCAGGCGATAAATCTCTATATAATAAAGCTTTGCGTGTGATGAAATATTATTCGTTTATACGAATGCATTTACCTTAATTGAGTTGGGTCATACTTTCACGGTTCTCAGAATTTTTCGCTGCTTTCGTCGAACGGAAATTCGGTATTTTTCAGTTGGGCACTTTTGTTGGGGTCGGGTCACAGTGATAATAGCACTGATCGATACTGATTTAATTTTTCAAAGTGGTATTTGCTTGAAGTTTGAGAAATTTTGTTTTAACCGACTTCAACCAAAAGAGGCGGTTCTCAATTCGGTTGTATTATACTATGAAACTTTTTCGTATTAATGGTATGGAATTCTTTTTTTCACAGAACTGCAAAATTTGTGTAGGCAGGATCTTTTTGTTTCAATATCATTTCTACTACTGTTGTACCTACTAGTTCAAAAGCCAATGACTATTTCTGACAAATAAAGGACAGAAATGAATCTATTTTAAAACTTTCTAACAAATTACTATGGGTATACTTGGAAACGAAGTGACATGGTGGCCCTATTTCAGTAAGAAAGGGCTAACGATTGTTACTTTTCCCTGGGCCAAGGTCAACATTATTAAGTATGATTCTATCGAAGCATTTATTTATTTTACTAGCTTTAGTCCGCAACTTTGCTCGCGTGTATTTAAGTACCTATGTTACAGAAAGTCTTAATCTCATGCTTGCCTTTTCAAAAAACTTTTTTTTAAAGTATAAAATTAACTTTTTACATCAATAACAAGATTTCATCCCCTATTTCACATCCTTTAACTTTAGTTTCCACGTAAAAAAATCCTTCCCCAGAGTACAAAATCTAAAAATCTCTATATCCGAATTACTCGAAATCCGTTCAGTAGTTTACTCATGAAAATGTCATAAACAGACACTTTTGCATTAATAACAATAGATGGATCAATCAACGAGATATTTCTTTCGTAACAGACTTTAAATATGAAGATTTCCGTAACAACCAGATGACGTGATATTAATGCATTCGAAATTCGTTAATAACTACGATTTATTAAAGCGCTGTAGTCGTTATTAAAGCGCTTTACAGTCGTTATGCAGGGGAAGCGAAGCACATGACTCGGGCTGACTCGGGTGTGGTATTTACAACTATCGCCATTAATATAATATGCCATAAATTGCATACCTACCTATTACTCGTATCCTCTCGCTTGGGCAGCGACGGTGGCGCCGGGGGGATTATGTGACGTAACGTAAACAAAAAAATTACAAATCAGCATAATTTGCAAAAACTCAAATATCTTCAAATTCGTACGGGGCGGGTATGCAACCAGCCCCCCTAGACAAAACGCACTTTTTGATCGAATCGAAAATCGAATCCGTCAAAAATCCATACAAAAAAGGGGCTTTTCGACCACTTTTCGACTGGTTTGCGATTATAATTTGCATTTTGTCTAGACCCACTGGTCGTACTGCAGTCGATGACGCTTTGTGTGCCGGCAGTCTCCTCTATTCGCAATTCCGAATGCAAGAACCAATATGCTAAAAAAGGCGCCAATTACCAGAACGTTGCGTACACTTAATGTAGTAGCTAGAACCGTTGACATATTCAGCTGTTCTTTGACTGAATTCACCAAGGTTACATTATTTATTTTATGTTATAGCGATAGCGCCAATTTTGATTGTTAAATATTTACTAATTAATCTACTCTATCGCATTGGGGTAACCAGTAATGTTAGAGATATTAGGATTGTTATTAATGAAATAAATAAATAATTAATCATTAGAGGGAAAAATGTTAACGTGTAATTATAATAATATTTTATACTTAAGCATTTGCACCCGGTATCATCATGTAGAATTTGTATTGTATCATTATTTCATTATTTAATTAAGTTTATTCGTTATCTTTGCACCATAAACGGACGTTGAAGTAGTCAACAGCACTATTATAATACATTGTTTGTTGCAAAATCATAACCTATTTACAACTATATAAAATGCCACAGTGTTTACCTTATTTCGCCGTAAATCCTTCTACTCTTATTCATATTTCTAAATAACAATTGCTTTAAAAACCTTCAATAACGCCCGTATTCACAAACATTACTATGAGGTCTCGCAGTGCGCGTGGACGCACAGGGTGACACACGAACCAATCACAGATCTCTTTTCCATGCTGTGCGTTCGATTTGCTGCTTCACTTAAGCAAGCATCGTTTGTGAATACGTGCGTAAATAACATAATTATCTTCCGCGATGTATAATCGCATTCAGCCAAGACAGAAACCATGCAAAACTCAAGTCTCAAGTGCATGTTCTTGCAATCGATAAGTACTCGTACAAGTACACTGAAGCGTTCACGATCATTACCATTACCACTGTAGTGCTTCCCAGCTAGTTTATGGCTAATTTTAGAACGCTTATATTGCGTTTGTTGTAAAAAAATAGAATAGAATAAAATATAATAGAATAACGTTTATTTTGCTGCTACATGAATACACATACATACATAAAACAAACGGTCAACATTACAGAACCAGTCAAAAGAATGATAGTTAAAATTAATCGGGAAAGCTACTTAGACGGCGTTGCAGCAGCAAAAAGGTCCCCGTCTCAGCATGTGACAAGTGTATACCACATACCACATGACGCTAATTTTCAGACGGCGGCCGTGGTCTGAGTTGCTCGGTATATCAGGATATGAGTTTTATAAATATTTAAGCATTATTAAGCAAATAGTTGAGCATTACCTACAAGCTGAATTTTTCACAGTGCATACATGGTGCAAATCTGAAACTACGATTTTATTTTTATTTATTTAATAGGACAACCAACAAGACATACACTGGAAGACAATCAATATTTACAACGTATTTAACTTAATCTAAGTGCTGCCTTAATTATAGGTTGCCACGGCATGCAAAAGTGGACTTATACATATACAGTGTCTACACTTAAAGAAAAGAGTTTCTTCAGCGAGTATTATTTAGCTGGAATAACATTTCGCCAGCGACTCGATGCGAAGCTGTTTAGGATTTTGCGCTTAAATGAAGATAGCTTGTCCCGATGATAGCGAAACGATCTTTAGGGGACTTCCCTAACTTAGGGCAACCAAACGGTCGCGTGATATTTGGTTCCTGTATGTATTCTTCGTTTTGGATCACATTCTGTAAAAGAAAGTAGATAAATACACTTTGTGAATAGTCAATAAGCACCATATTCCACGAATAGAAGTAATGACATGGATAATGTACGGCAAATTAAGAGCAGCTTAAAAACGAAACTAGTGTAGGTACTTATTATCTTTGATTGCAAAGTATATTTTAATGCTAAGGTAGCTATGACCAGTGGGCCTAGTGTGAGTTTTCATCAAACGCGCTCACTAGTAAAACTGCTCACCGCTCACTTTTAAAAACTAAAATTTTCATACATTTTTTAAACGCGCCTGAGCGCGTTTGATGTAAACTCACACTCAACCCACTGTAAGATACTGTACATCTCTATAGATAAAATTTTGTTGCAAAATCACACCAAATAACGACTACGAGTACCTATTTTGTAATAAATTAACCAACTCTATTATTGACCTCATCATATCACTCCTAGTAATGAAGTACGAGACATTTTCCTTGCTCAAAAATTATTGGTACCTCAGATCATAGATATTGTGGAACTTGATAAGCGTGATT